AAAAAAAAAATCGAAAAAAAAAATAAAATTCGAAAAAAAAAATAAAGGAATTTTCTTGTTTTCAAAAAATAGGGAAAGGGAATTGAATTATTTTCCAAAAAAAAAGAAAAAAAAAATTAATATAATAAAAAAAACCACCCTCAAGACAAACAAACCATTTTTTTGGCAACAAAAAATTATAAAAATATATACAAAGAAGTGTGTGTGTGTATATGTAGTATATAATATAATAAAATAAAAAAAAAGTTGAAAGTTGTATAAATTGTAATAAAAAATTAAACATTTTGCTCTTCTTCATGCTGATGATTAATGATGTAGTATATAAGGGAGTGTTTGTATAAATATAGATTTTTTTTTAATTATTATTAATATTATTTATAATTATTAACCCATTAATATTTCTTCGCAAATTTCGTCGTTTGATGTTGTGTTGTGTTGTAAATAATAATAATAAAAAAAAAAGTACGTGAAAAAAAAAAGTTGTTGCCTTCTATACATAAGAAACTATGATACAAAATTCTGGTTGTTGTTAAAGAGGGTGATTCGTGTTTAAAACTAAAAATTAGTTCCAATATATAATAATAATAAAAATAATAATATATTAATTCATCAAATAAAACCCAATTAAAATCGTAAAATCGTAAATCGTTTGAATCGATTGAATCGTTTGAATTGTTTGAATTCCCTTATTAACATATTCCTAAAGCGTATTTATTATTTTCAACAAATTCGCGTATATCTTTATCGGATACCCAATTATTATGATTTCCTAAATATCTTAGGAATTCCCTCTCCATTTGATTAACTTCCTGTACAGAGTAAATTCCTGAAATATCGGCCAATCTTTCATTAATTATAGAATGACGTCGATTTTTATAATTATTATATCCATTTCGATGTGGTGTGGTTGACATGATCTCATGAACATCATCATCAGATATCATGGATGAAGTGGTTGATAATGGTGTGGTTGATAAAATATTATGTGAATGATCAAAATCTGAAGAATGAAAATCCGATATATTTGAAAAAGTTGAACTCGAATAACTTGAACTTGATTCGTCTAATATATTTGGATTCGATGATAATACTTCCGTTGAACAACATGGAGGAAAATATGATCCTTCTTCTTCTTCCTCATGTGATTTTGTCATGAATTCTTTTGATGCAACTAATAATGCGGATAAGAAAATTTTGTGTGTCGTGCCTATAAAATAAAATACATATATATATTTATGTAAGAAAAACGAACGTAAAAAAATAGTTTAGTTTGTGACGTGTGGTGTTAAACTAGAACTAGAAAAAAGTGTACCGCAGTAAACGACACGTGAACTAGTCTAAAATACGCCACAAACGCCACAAAAATAAAAAAGAGAGGGGAGGTGTTTTTTTAATCGTACCGTATTCTCCATGAGCGTTTTTAGGTAATCCTTCCTTAAAGCGACCAACGAGGATTAAAGCTGCAATCGCAGTTTGTACGTCAACTCTTGCTTTTGTAGTAACTTTCTCGACAAACAATACCAATTCAGGTAATGGGACGAAATCCCAATTATAATATCTCGGTGGTTGATGCGTATCAAGGATACCACACATACTTTCAGCTATAAAACCTATAATTATAATAATAATTAAGTAAAAATTTAAATAAAAGAAAGGAAAGAAAGAAAAGAAAGATTTGACTATTATTTACCTGTAACTGAACTTGGAAGGGGTTTATATTCTGTGGTAACAACATCACAAGGAGTATCTTCCTTTGCGTTTTCAACTTCATAAATACAAGTCATTTTTGATGTTTTTTAATGTATTTTAATGTCTTTTGATTGTTTATAAAAGAAAAGAAGAAGCAAAAATAAAAAAAAAAAAGTTTTTACAAAAAGGTTGAAATGAAAATAAAAAAAATTTACAAGGTAAAGAATAAGTTTTGAGTAGTTTTTTTTTTTTTT